TGAACACACAAAAAAACAACTGTTCACAATACTCCACACCGGGGTCACTGACCTTCACGGAGCAAAAAAGTCATTTTCATTATAATTTACTTATATAGATTATGAAGTATACAGACATTGTACACCAGTGCTCCGCTTCATTTTGTTTGCAAGTAGCATTGTTTGGCATTATTTTGCAATAAAGTTAATATTTAATAATCAACGAAACCTTTGTTTTTCAGGATTTCTTCGCTAACTGGACCGCCATGCCGACTCGGAGAGCTCGGTTCATCAAGGCCATCTCTCTCAACCTGTCCAAATGGCTGCGGGCGCAGGGCGAGCCGACCTACCTCTCCTGCGACCCTCTGGCCACGGCGATCGTCATAGACACCGGCATCGTGGAGGGCGTCGACACCGTGTACGCTACCGTGGAGGTAGAGGGGGAATACACCCGGGCACAGATGGTGGTAGACTGGTGGGGCTTCCGCAGAAAGACTCCAAACGTTGATATCATAAGAAGTCTTAACATGTCCAGATACAAGAGTCTGTTGATGACTGCCATGTAAAACATGGTAAGTCCACGGCTAGTAAATCTTATGGATATCATCCTCCGCAGACTCCAAATCTAATGCGAGCGGGCGAAAAAAAAAACAAGGTGGGCCGAAAAAAAAGGTTTCCTCATTTTAAAATTTTGTACAAATCATTCTGAGTTTTGATTTAGTGGGAACATCGCATATACACAGCCAGCATCACATATCACTGCATCAAAGTAAGAAACAAAACATTACATCAGAGCCTTTTCTTGTCTCCTCTCTTCATAGTTATCTTCCATCCACCTTCCGGCATGGCAACAGACATCTTTGCCTATTTTCAGCATGTTGACCACTGTCAAAAAAATTCTTTCCCCCCCCCCCAAATCAGCCGAAAATTAATGTGCGTGCTGATGTCATCCATAAAATTTACTTGCTGTGGCCTAATGAAAATCATGGGTGTATTTTGTAATTTCAGAGTACGCAGCAGGTACATCTGTTTTTTTTTTGTGTGTGTGTATTGTTTAACCTCCTTGATATTTGTGAACAAACGTGTATTTGAAGCGGTAAAGTGGAGCATATTCAACCAGTAGGTAACCTGGGTGCCAGACTGTTTTCAGAGCCTCAGAGGCCAGTTCTTCCGACCCAGGGCCAACATACCCTTTTTTTTGTGCAAATTATACTACAACCCCCCTCAGTTAGGCACTGGCTATTGGCCTATGGATCTGGCATTCTGGCTAGGAGGTGGAAACTTTCAACCACAGATTGGACAAGAATAAGCTAGTCACAAGTCATTTGGGGTACCAACTTAACATATCTAGTAATGTAATCACCACTTCAGATTTAGAACTCTTATGAAAAATGAAATCCAAGAATTCAAAAGCTGTGTGGTGGAACGAAGCATACATGTACATGTAACATTTAACTTACTTACAAATACATGTATGCTTTAAAATGTGGTGCTCATTGTTGTATGTATATATCTGTATATATAAAACCTTATCATTAAACAAAAGCTGAGCAATTGTACGATCACCACTCTATCTAACGAAATTGTAGATCAACAGAACTAGTTCTATGTAAATTATGTATGGTGTACGTCGATGATGGTGTACGTCATGTAATTGTTCCATTAAAGGATGAAGCAACGGCAAAGAATTGTGAGTTTGCTGACTTGAAAGTTGCTATCGCCTCTTAGCTGTGGTAGGTATAGGTTAGGAAACAGATGTACATATTGTGGATATTCGCAAGACTGCCAACAGATGTTATGTTATGCTCATTTATATCAATTATGATTTGAAAGTTATGCTGTAGGTGGGGAATTATTGAAAGTGCTCATGACACCAAAATATGACTTTAGCTGATTGTAATTGACATAGCTTGTGTTATCTGGCTAACAGACACATTTACAGTAAATATGCACGGTTCTCTTGTTACATTCAAAATTCTAACGCCCTACCTTGGAAAAGTCAGCACAAGCTAGTACTGGCGGGTGATTTGCATCTCTACATTTTATTTTTGCATTTCTGTGCTTTTTCCTGAGCTGACGTCATCCAGTGATGTCAGCTCAGGAAAAAGCACAGAAATGCAAAAATAAAACAGATATGCAGAATAGAGATGCCCGAAGTGGGCAATTGGAAAGCTTGCTAGAGAGTCTCCAAAAACCCACTTTTAGAAGGCCGTACAAGCTCAGTTTCTCAGTCATTGTGATTGGAACAAACTTCAAGTGACTATATTGTATTCACACTTCCGGTATTTGTATGTATTTCACAGGCTTTTTTTGGTGTCATGAGCGCTTTAAAGTTCATGGATGCATTAAAAAATTCAGCTGTGTTCTGAAAGAAAATATTGTGATAGACCCTAATCAACGGCCAATTCTGGAAGTCTCCTTGAAAACCCTCCTACAGAAAAACTGCATGATGAATTTAAACTTTGAAGCCAAATATGCAATCAACTGTACAAGAAGCAAGAAGGCACATGTTTCAAAATATTCAAGAAGAGAGACTCTTTATTCCAATGAGTTACAACATTGTTACTAAAACTAAGACATCGCAAAATTTGGAAGAAGCCTTATCCTGCAGGGATTGTATAGAAATACATGTATAAGAAATCAGTACAGTTGAATAGTATCCTAAGAAAAGGAATAGTCACTGTAAAATTACAGAACTCTATAGTTTTAACAGTTTTGCATCAATAATCTAACTAAAGCATCAACAGTCCCATGACTATTTGCCTTTTACGTCACCTGCTTATCAACTACTTAGCACCGCTAATCAAATTAAAGCCAAGCATTGTGATTGGTGGGATATAAACTGCTCAAATAGGTAGTGGGAGAAGACATGATATGTACAATGTCAATGTAGGATCTAGCAAGTGAACACAATTTTTATACAGCCTGATGATTATTAAGATATAGGTTCTGATCATTGGTTCAAATAATGATGTTGATAATGAATAAATTTACTAAAAAAACATACTATTGAACTTCACATATGACTTCATACATCTTGGCTAAAGTAATGCATTTCCTGAACCAAAAGTAAGTGAATGTGCGTAAAGAGTTTCTGCAGGTTGGTAAATCATTGGATATCTGAGTTGTTTCTCACAGGCAGAGTTGTTCTTCCAGTCAACATTTCAGTAGTCCTTCTGTTACCTTCCTCCAGAGTACACATGCAGTTATACTTCTTGCCTCTAGGTGGCACCATGGCAAGAATATTCAGTCCCACAATGTAAGGCCACACCAATTTAATTTAATAACAGTTGTTTCTCGGATTTTTTCTGAAAAAATATGAACAGGGCGAAAAAAAACAGGCTAAGGCACCCAGGAAATGTTACAATATGTGCCATGAAGTGAACATACCAGTGAGAATGGTTTATAATTAAAACTGTTACAGTAACTGTAGATTTTGAACATGTACATGTAATGAAACAAAGTTGCATTGTTACATTGAAAAATTTTAACAATTAGGATGAAAATGACTTTCTTCAACCGTTGAGGCCAAAATTCATTGAACATTTTACAGTTGATTTCGAAGCAAAAAATTTAGACAGGGCAAATCCGAGAAACAACAAACTAAATTGGTGTGGCCTAATGATCAAATAGACTGGGAATGGGCTAAAGTCATAGGCAAAGGGGACAACAGACACATAATTGAGGAGGTAGTGTAATGTGAATTGGAAAATCTACACCAGTCATTAACCATGAAGGAAGTGGGATGGGGGTGGCTGATGTGGTTACAAATCAACTCCAGTTATTAAATGAGATTGGGGAGGGGGGCACAAATGATTGGAGGTTTCATCTAGTGACCTACAGATTGCAGTCCTTGCTACCTTGTGAAATTTAAAGGTTGCAGAAAGACTTGGAACCCGAAAGTTGGCTGGTAAGAACAAAGTGTATTATTTGAATTCAAGGGGAGGGAGGGGGGGTTTACATAATGTACTTTCAACATCATATAAAATATTTTTTCAACAACACAATATGGATATTGCAGGTACTTCTGGCATCTTGTTTTCTTTTAAAATTGAAAATCTATTTTTATACATGATTGTGTATAACGTTTATTTTCACTGACCACGCTTCAATAACTTTTAATACGTTCACTAAATATTCTCTATAGTTAGGGTTTCATCAAAATAGACACATGTACTAGCTTTTCCTTTTTTATCATAAGCTGTGATAGTTTTAGTTGTTGTCTATACTGTACAACAAACAATTTTTATAGTATTTTCTTCAGTCAAGAATATTTTTAGATTAATAATATTTTTTTAACAAACATATTCTACGAAGGGATAACCTGGATCTGTTTGGGGTTATACAAAATTAATATAATCACTTGAATAGTCTGGAAAATCTGATTTTTGCATCAAAATGTGAAGACAATGTAGAATGTAAATCCTTGATTCATATGCAGGCCTCAAAATTAATTTTTTTCCCTATATTGTCCCAGCATTGTCCTGAAAATAAATTTCAGTTGTCCCGAGCTGAGGATGAATTGTCCCAACCTGTTTTTCGGGAAGCATGTAAGCCAAATCTTAATATAATCTCTACTAGTATATTATTGCAGAGTTTTGGGAGACATTTGGGGGGCTTTTCTGGAGCCAAAAGCTGGGAACCGTACCTCAGATCAACTGAAAGTTGTCCCAGACAAAATTTCAGTGGTCAGTGGCCATCGGGACACCATTAATTTAGAGCCCTGACATAGAGTTCTGATTTGCAACTGAACTAGTAATTACATAAAATATAGATAGTCATTTTTGCTTTCATTTTCACCCTTAATGTAAGATTTCAAGCAGCATGATCATTTATAGAATGTATCTTGCATTTTTTCCTGATGCAATCTATCTGCAAACTATGCCTAATGCTGTTTGTTTCCCACTGCACAAATCACAATAAAAGATATATTTAACATCTATAGCACACCCCAATAGTCATAATCTTATAAATCATGTAATTCATCCAATACCAAGTATTTACAATGTAGTCTAGTAGCACTAGATGTCACGATGATATGATAGGGCTCTAGTCAGCTGGAAATCTTTTCTGTCTGCCAGATTCATGATCCGTTTGGGTGTGTTTGTGTGTGTGTAGGTGCTTGCAATCAAGGGAGTTTGGTGGGGGGGGGGTGGCGTCATGGTCCCCTGAAAAGCTTTGGATTTTCAAGCCTTCCAAAACGCAATCTTCTGTCATTTGATTGTAAATTGTGGGGTTGAGAGTGATTTTCGGTGGTCTTTTTTAATTGTTTCTAAATATTTGACAAGTTGATGGTTTTGGTTAAAAACCTGCCGCTGACTAAAAAAAGATGCTACGTGACAGGGGAACTCTACGATGTGTAGTGTGAGTACACTTTCCTCATGTATGAGGATCCTTCCTGAACCTTTCTGACAGTAAAGTCTACAGCATGGCCTGTATGTTTCACCATAAGGTCAGCAGCTATGGTGACCTTTTGGACTGAGACCGTGGCCAGCCAGCTGGCTTTCTTGACCGTCCAGTCGGCCAAAATGGCCGCCTGCTTGGACGTGAACGTAAAAGCCACCTGGAAGAAGTCTTTCAGCTGACCACCGATGTCATCCAGATAGACCATGTAGTGCGATGCCTCTAGCAGCAGAGCCTTGAAGTACACTTTGACGGTGTAGAAGAGGGTGATGAAGTCGTTGGTTCCAAACACGGTGTCGGACAGGGCGAATCCCAGCGTGGACGGGATGAAGCCGCGCCCGTACTCCACCATCCAGGTGCCGGCTGTCCATTGGACGGAGGTGGCGTCCCCAGCAAGGTGGTGTATGGTGTCACCTGTGGGGAGGGGGGCAGGTTAAGTCACAATGCAGCTTTACAATATACATTGTAAATTAAATGCAGTGTTCTGAAAGTGAATGTGATTTCGAGCCAGTTTAGCTCATTGAAGAGCTAATCTTCCACTGGTCGTGACAGAGAAGACAGACGTTATGTACAGTATTTACAGGTTCATTGTGGCGTCTGTGTGGTGTAGTGGATAGAGTGTCTGATTGTCAAGCAAGAAGACCCAGGTTCAATCCCTGAGGCATGCACCCAGACATTGTGCCCTTGGGAAAGGCACTTAACATGTATTTCCCCCCTCAGTTAGAGGGTTCCTGGGCCCTACTACTGGGCCCTACTAGGGTTTGGGTTGGCGTTAGGAAGAGCATCCAGCCGTAAAAATCTTGCTTCAAAAAAAGTCTTGTACCTAGTGCCTAGGTACCTAGTACCTCTAACCCCCAGTTGGGGAAAAATGATGTTAAATTCGGTTTAAAAAATTGTACCGAGGAAATTCCCCTAGCTCTTTTTCCACAAGCACAATGAATAGAAGACCACAGCTTAACGTCCCGTCTTAAGGACTGCGACCCTAAACAGTAGCGTGCATGTCGGGTGAGCGACAGCAGCCCGGCCCGGGGATTCAAACTCCCAACCTCCTAGTCCAGATGACCACTAGACTACGCACGCTACTGGTTTGCATCAGTCTTGCCATTTTTTGACGGAAATTTATTGCTCATGACATATTCTGTCATCTTTGAATTGGTGTGTTAAGATAATTTTGGCTGACAAAAATTGCTTATTAATGGAGGAAAATTGCAGAGAGAGAGTGAAGAAACTTTGCCCTGAATTCGAAGAGCTTACCCCCAGACCCCCTATAAGATTGTTGTGCCTCTGGGGGATGCCTCAGGCATTTGGTGCACAAAAAATGATGTTAGGTTAATCAAAATTAAGATGACAGAAAGACATTTCAGGCTGGTTCAAATTATGCTTATATTCATGTGTGTTATATGTGACAAATGTAGCACTAGTGACAAACCTGACAGTAATTTCTAAAATATCATTGGAAAACATGGATAGACCAATACTTATTAACACTGTCAGTAGATTTATACGAGAGATGAGTCTCAGTGGTTTAAACAGGAACCAGCTTTTGCACAATGTCATGTTCCAATAAAGAAATGCACAGCATTTAATTACATTTTGCATGAATTTTGGTCATTGTTTGCATGTGTGAGGATGGGTAGTTAAATTTATTCGAGATCTGTACTGTAAACTACATGAACTATAAAATCTCACCAGCTTGGAACATCTGGCTCTTAGTAGTTCCCTCTTTCCACTGTCTGAAGCTGCCAGTCAGTATGGTGTCTGAGATGTTTGCCCAATAACGACCTGTCAAAAAATAAATAATATTCTTTATCATTAATACTGCACAAAGGTGTAGATTTAGATCATCAAAAGTCAATGTTGGGCATTGTTTCACACCTTTACGTACATTCAGTTTGGGGCCATATGTATTCTGCACATTTAAGGTAAAACCATGGCTAGTGGTCACTCCTTTAGCCAGGCATGGTGCATGTATGTTTCGGTTATAGGATCTGCTTCCAAAGAGATAATTTTTAAGAAGGCCCTGGATTAGGATGATATTTGATATGCAGGAAAGTCTTGGGAGGTCAAGGTCAGTTACTGTCCTAGTACATGTATGGGCCTCCTGGCAGCTGACCTTGGTACTGCAGCAGAACTTCCAGTTTTGTATCTTTTGTCCTGAACTCCATGCCAGTCAGACTGCTAAAAATAAAGTTTAGCAGTCTGACTGGTATCGTCTACCAGATACCTTTGACCCAGTGTTGACGTCACACTTCAAAAAAGTCACGTGACAAGCCTCACTGGGTCAGTCTACTGAGGAAGACCAGAGTGACTGGTCGAAAGCTCTACGTAGGTGAGAGAACTCTTTGTTTTGGATGTAGTTGTGTAGTTTTAACTCTAAACATGTACATGTAACTACCAACACAGATGAACTTTAAAATTTATGATAATTAATATACAAAATGGGTCATACCTGAGTGTCCGACGGTGTCCACGGCAGTCCCAAAGAACAAAACGTACTCTGTGAAGGATGCGTGGAGGAGACACATGGACCCCATCCACCCTCCCGCGTTCACAAACACCCACTGCAGGTCCTGGTCAGGCAGGATGTGTCCGGGGTAGCGCCGCCGCAGCTCATCCAGAACCTTCCTGTACGCAGCCTCATGTCCCGCTGTCTTTGCTGTGACTGTGGCATGGGGGATGTATTTATCAGTGTAAATCTTGAGGAGTCAGACATGATTGGTGCCACATTGGATAGCGTAGTGGTAAAGCGTTTGACTATGAAGCGGGGAGACCCGGGTTCGATTCCGAGTCATACCCCGGACATTTCCCAACAATTGCACCCCGGCGTTGTGCCCTTGGGAAAGGCACTTTACACAACTTTCCTCACTTCACCCATGTGTGAATGGGTACCTAACTTCGGTTGGGGAAAGCCGTATTGAGGTCACCTTGTGGCGCCGAATGGCAGCCGCACAGACCCTTGCGACAGTTCCACATAAAAAATCTGTGGAGCAAATACAAATATATATGTGTGTCGTGTATTATTTGATTGTTGTGGTCTGTATAATATAAACTATTGATTATTATGTGATACCCTGCGTATCATCAATTCAGCTGTATAAAGGCTGTGACTGCACTGTAATGTTTGGACAATAAAAAACATTTATTATTGTTATTATTATGGTTATAAGGCCATACCGACTTGATTTTATGGATGACATCCGCATGCGCATTGATTTTCGGCTGTTCTCAAAAAAGAAAAAGAAAAAACAAAAGAATCACGTCCTCTGAGGTTCTGGCCTGGATATAGGCCAGGGTAGTCTATGGTAGTTAGCGACAATATGGAGCCGGTAGTGGAGGATGGCACCCAGGCTACCGAAGCTCCATGACTCAAGAATATACGTACCTTACGTACAGTGCTGATTGATTACTTCGGAAGTTCCGCAAAAAACCAACATGTGCCGGGTTGTCGTATACGTCACTAAATTCACAATATCAGTTTGTATTCTTTTTTAATAGATTAAATGGCATTTATAATTTTATTTTTGGCCGGAATTTTTTTTATTTGCCCACACGCACTAGTTTGGGGGTCTCCAGAGGATGTCATCCATAAAATCAAGTCGGTGGGGCCTTATATATCTAGCCTCCTGTGCAGGCCCCGCGGCGGTAGAGAAGAGTTTTTAACACGTTATTTTAATATAGCCGGCCATCCTACATAGCCGCCGATCGTGGGCGGAAAGCAACCTTCTCTCGGCGGCTATGTAGGATGGCCGGCTATATTAAAATAACGCATTAAAAACTCTTCTCCACCACCGCGGGGCCTGCACAGGAGGCTATAAATATCAAACTTTGCCGAAAAGTATGGGTGTTCCAGCCCATGTGATAACTTTAGCTAAATTATATCATGATATTATCCGGGCTGTAATAAAAATAGAATACAACGATTACGTACACGAGCTACATGTATTCCACCCTAGCTATATAGATCGCGATCTGACTCGTGGAAGGGCTGTGACCGAGGGTGATGCAGAATACACTGTGTTGTATGTAATTCATGTCATATACTAATAGTATATCATACCCACCAAAGAAAACATAATTTCAAGACAGTTTCAATAAAAATAATTATGATCATTGCACAAACTGTGAAGATATGATTATGATTCAAATCAGCTACTAGTAGGTGTAAAAATGTCTGTTATGTACCACACATCTGTCAAAACACACACCGGTATGTGCTTGTCTTTAACCAAACAATATCATTATTAATAGCTGAGGTTATTATCTGACAATAGAATATAAAATTGTCAACAACTTGGTACTAGCACTGTGTCAAGATTTATCCTAATATATAACAAGTTATTACAGGTTCAAAAGTTCACCAGTACTAGTCTTGATTAAGTTGATAAATATGATAATATTATTGTGTCTTAAAAATTTCAATGCGGTTTGATTTTCATGCTAATTAAGATGTCTGGCGGCAGGACTCTTCAGAAAGCATCAAATTAACACTTTACATCTGCTTGGAGATTTCTCACACCCAACTACACTTGGAGCTACCCCATGTTTTCATCTGTCCAATCATGAACTGCCTAGTCAGCAGTCATATTTGTCATAATGTGTGACATAATCTCCAAGTAGATGTTTGGGGGTGCAAAATCGTAAGGTTTCTATCCCAGCTTTTTTAACAGCTCTACTACGCTATATCTGCTTGAAAATGGTTGTTATGATCTTCCAAAACGTTGTGATCTTCCATAAAAACATCTGCTTGGAGATAATTGTTTAAATTAATATTTGCGTACGGGCACGTAACTATGCAGTTACATGTAATCTTAACCTTTGTAAGATATAAGATTGGAATTGTAATCTTCGTGGTATAAACAACTTGCAAACTGATATTTGGGTCTTTTCGTTGTTAGTTAGGACGGAAAAAACACCTTTTTTTGTCAAATATTTGTTGCCACACGACTAGCTCTTATTAAATTTGCTCGACCTTTAAACACGAATTTTGTCCCCAAACAGCAGTGTTTTGACAGAACACTTACCGACATGCTTTCTGGATATCTCAGCTACCGAGTTGGCATCGAAAGTGTAGGTCTTGTTGTTCAGCCAGAAGTTAATTCCGTAAATAAAAACTGCAACCAACACCAGGAAAAACAACATACGCGAAACCGACGCCATCCTTGAAACTGGAATAAACCATCGAATCAAAGGGGTGCAGTAGAAAAAAATAGCTCTTAATAAAAGTCTACGCCGCAAAATATATTTTAAAAAAAATAGAAAATGAGATATAAGAGTCCCTACTAACTGAAACATTTTAATTTTCACAATCTGTTTTGTTTCTTTTACGTTTAAAAACACGGCCCCATGTTACAATGGAATATTTTGTTGACCTTTGACCTTTGTAGGTCGGATTGTGACGAACAGCTGATTTCAGCAAAGGTGGGCAAATTTATGGAATTTCAAAGCAAAGAATGAGAAAAATACGACACTTCTGTTGTAAACAAGTGCTACATGTGACAATACAGACTCGTTAATGTTATTATACTCCAATTTGTCGGTAGGTAGGCAGTAAATTAATTATCTAGATTGACCTTGTTTAAGAGGGGGGGGCTGGTCGGTACATTATGTTTTTTTTTTCTTTACATAATCTATTATGAACTTTGTACGTCACATGTTTTGGGGATTTTGGGAAGAATTCTTTTAGGCTTATGTCTGTACGTTTGTCTGTTTGTGTATGTGTGGTTCAGTCTTAAAGTATATACATATCAAGTATACATTTTACTAGTAGTACTACTCTTAAAAGGTATATCAGTATAAGCCCGAATCAAGAGTCGCCACGGCTACAGTCTACTAAAGGTATAACATTAAAGGTAACGTTATGTTTAGCAGAGGGGTTCAACTTCAACTTAGCACCACCAACTGTCAAACGGGCACGGACCTTTTAGCCTAGTGGTTAGTGCGTTGGGTTTGTGAACTACATGTAGATTCATGAGACTTTGTGTTTCTTCTCACCTCCTTAAAGTGTTTCGCTGGTTCCCACGCCAGTCCTGTGAGTTACATAAGTTGGCAAACTGTGATATCATGTGGATGTCGCACACTACATCTACAAAGTTTAAAAGCTGTTAAACTCAGTTCTGCTGTTATTTTGGAAAATGAACTCCAAAATTAATACATTTTAGAAAATTGACTGGTTAATGATTAACTGTTGAGTCCAATATTGTCCCTTGCAGACCAATGGTGATACCATGTAACAGGCTACCTGTGGTGTGAGGGGTCATCAATCACAGCTTCTCCTCCCTATGCTGAAAAGCCTTTCCCAAGGAATCCTACCAGACCCAGGCTCACTGAGATACTTTGTATCCAGTGTACATGCTTTGGGTCTGGCATCCAGGCTATCTATATAGTTATTACTCTGTCCCCTAAATGTTTTAGTGATACGAGGGGTCGAAAACTGCAATGTAGTAGATTTGCCAAAAAACAGTTACTAATCTCAAGCAACTGGATATGATTTGGAAATGGTCAGACTGTGATTATTTTGTATTTTCTGAAGTCAGGGTCTAACCGTGCATGGAGATGCTGGGTTGTCGGCACCTGTGCAGACTGCTGGGCAGACGTCAGCAGCTGCTGCACCTGACCAGGCCAAAGGCCACAGCTGCAGCACCTGCAGCAAAATCTTTCTTCTACCAGGACTTGTTTGAACCTGAAAAACCCCTGGATACTCCTTACAGGAAACTTACAGGTATGTTATATATAATTATTGTAACTTATAATCAATTATGGTGTATCAATAATGTGAAAAAAAATGTCATGGCGTAGATTTTAGTTAGGGTGTCCAGGGCGTCTTTTGGACACCCTACCGTTCCTTACCTGGGCCCTTGGCCCCGTGTGGAGCATAGGCCACCGACGATTTCCCTCCATCTAGCTCTGTTCTGGGCTTCTCTCTCAATGTCCTTCCAGCGCATTCCCAGTTTGGTGGGTTTTGGACACCCTGTTCCATAAGAAATTGGACGCCCTACTTTTTTTTAGGACACCCTAAAGACACCCTATTTTCCCCACTCCCAACCCCTGCCACGCACACATGCCTCCCTTCAGCCTTACTATAAGTATAAATACAAAAATGATGATTTACCGAAGGAAAAAAAAACTCAAATTCCTCAAAATTTGCACCTCACAATGCAGAAAGTAGTGTTTATTTGAGAGCATTATGAATTTTAAAATATCCCCCCTAAAAAGCTTGAGCACCGTGCATCTTCACTGCGCATAGCATACAATGGAAAAATTGAACACCCACCAAGAAAATCCTAGCTAAAACTTTAGGAAAAGCTGTGGTCATAGCTGTGATTTGACCAGTGATAAGGTTTGAATGGTTGGTACAAATGTACGTGTATGTGTATGTTTAGGTTAGTAGCAGTATTACACAGTTTTCTATATAAGAACAACTTTTGCTGAACATTTGAACATTCAAAAACATGTGCCAACATTTACATGCAGGTCATACAACCTGTTGATATTTGTTGACGTGACTGTTGTCCAGGTGATTATGTGTCCACTTTAACCTGTAGTTGATGTTTGTTGATGTGACTGTTGCCCAGGTGATTATGTGTCCACTTTAACCTGTTGATGTTTGTTGATGTGACTGTTGCCCAGGTGATTATGTGTCCACCTTTGAGGTCCTGGGGAAGACATGTCTGAAGGTTGAGCCCGAGGCCCTGACCCTGCTGACCCAGGAGGCTATGGTGGACATCGCACATCTGCTCAGACCTGCACACCTCGCTGTACGTCAGATCACTGCTCCTACATGTACATCAGGGTTTAGTTTTTATGAAAGAGTTGTAACAAAATACAAATATACGGTCAAAGACAATCACCCAGGGGACCAAGGACAAATGGTCTTCAAAAACATGTGGTCTTTTTATCCAGAAACATGGTGACAAAGAAAAGATGGCTGCCAGGCTGCAATAGACTGTCAATTGTGATTCAGCCAGCACTATTTTGCATGCACAGTGCAAAGGCTGTCATGCTATCAAAATTATTGGCAAACTGACTGTTTTTGCTACTTATAAATTTTAAAGTAACATAAAAAAGTTGTTTCCCACTGCAAGCTTGAAAATGACATGGCCTTCATAGGCAGAGATTTGGCCATCAGATTGGACAAGTGGTTACTGACGAAAAGCACTCAATGCTACGTGTACTAGTACTTAAAATATCTGACATAAAACAAGATATCTTATTGCAATTGAGGAACTAACAGTGTCCAGTTTAATTCCGGCATTCCAGTTTAATTCCGGACTAATTCCCATATCTCAGCAACCTTACGTCTAGATGGGCTAATATTCTAAGATATAGGTAAACATGATGTAAGAAATACATAGTAGCCATCGGTGACCCCTTGGGAATTAACCCAATTCTGCAGATTTCTGCAGAATTCTGTCTCCAGTTCCCAGAATCCAGACGTAAGGTTGCTGAGATATGGGAGTTAGTCCGGAATTAAACTGGAATTCCGGAATTAAACTGGACACTGTTAACTACTGTTTTCTTGTTTGATCCAATGTATAACAGTGAGAATCAATACCACCTGCATGTCAAGTCAAGTCAAAGCTTATTGCACAACGATTGTCACGGGTACAATGTATGGCAAAAACAGAGTGTCAACTAAATTACCAAAAGTACTTGCCAGGAATGTTACAATTCTACACATGCTACGATACGATACACTATATACTAGTCTTGTAGTTGATAAATTATTCAGTGACTCTAGTATACAGCTGTGCCTTTGGCTGTATCGGTCAGACTGAGATGTAATTAGTGGCTTGTATTTTCCTGCAGCAACTGAGAAAGATCCTGGATGACCCTGAGGCGTCTCCCAATGACAAGTATGTGGCTATGGAGTTCCTGAAGAACGCTAACATCGCAGCTGCCAAGGTCCTGCCGGGTTGTCAGGATACAGGCACTGCCATCGTCATCGGTGAATAATTGTCTTCAAACTTTCTTATACATATGAATAGCAAAGTTCTTTGATCACAACCATTTATTTTTCGCGATCTGACGTTTCGATGACTGTCTGTCATCTTCATCAGACTGGTTAACTGTGCACTGACGCTAGATGTTACTTGGTGCATAGTGCACTAAAGGTGACATAGTTCACAGTGCACTGTTACCTGGTTCACAGTGCACATGCACTGTTACTTGGTTCACAGTGCACTTAAGCTTATAGGTACTTGTGTATACTGATACAGTGTATACTGATACAGTCAAACTTGCTAAAGTGACCACCTCTATAATCTGTATCTGTATCTGTACATCTAGCCGGTTTAACCACAATGTACTTTCTACTTCTGAAATTCAGTTTCCATTCTATGGGCTGGGGATTGACATTTATTCTGACAGCATGACTGTCTTTGCACAATGTAAAATGGCCCCAGCTAGGTCACTTTGGGCAAGGCTAAATAGTGTTTCTTTATAGGATACATGACACTATTTCTGAAATTTAGTTTCCTTTGAAACAATATTGGCTGTGGATTGTAGTGTCAACCTCTTTGGAACCCCTGGTACCTTTGGCACCTTAAAAAAATACAGTCAAATCTGAAAATTAAGATCTAATTTATACCACCTGACATTACTACAGTGTATGTTTTTGTTGTGGCCAGGTAAGAAGGGTCAGTATGTGTGGACAGATGGAAAGGATGAGGAACACCTGGCCAAAGGAGTCTACAACACCTACACACAGAAGAACCTCAGGTACTCACAGGTACGTCTGTACAACACCTACACACAGAACCTCAGGTACTCACAGGTACGTCTGTACAACACCTACACACAGAACCTCAGGTACTCACAGGTACGTCTGTACAACACCTACACACAGAAGAACCTCAGGTACTCACAGGTACGTCTGTACAACACCTACACACAGAACCTCAGGTACTCACAGGTACGTCTGTACAACACCTACACACAGAACCTCAGGTACTCACAGGTACGTCTGTACAACACCTACACACAGAACCTCAGGTACTCACAGGTACGTCTGTTCAACACCTACACACAGATATGTCACTAGTACGAAACTGCAGTGCTGAAGTCACATTTCCAAACCGGGAAACATTCAAACTCACAATTAGCCACTTAAAACTCCTCTGCCCGACAGTAACAATTGAGTTCTTAAAGGCATTCATTTGGCAATATAATTTTACGGCAGCAAAAATATGAGAAATTATTACTCCGTGAAGGAGGTCAGGACCTCCGGACGGAGTGTTGTAATCGGCTGATTTTTCATGTTCGCAGTCAAAACACTGGGTTCTCTTTGTGTAATCGGCACGCAATTTTATACGCCGTCTGCGGGCATGCCCGTGTTGATGCACGAATGTGTATTTTTGCCGTTGCTGCTTTCGCGGTCAATGTAATATCGCAGACGCACCCCTACAATTACGAGGCGAATTGGAATGGTCCAGAAAAACGCGTTGTTTGGAATAGCAGTGGGGTTCAAAAAAGTTCATGCAGATACGGGGTGGTTTTTATAAGTGGTTCCAGATGTTTTTGCCCATGGTTAAGAGATGCCAAGTTTTTTGGAAGATGTTCGCAGCCAAAACGCATTCTTCCGTACGTCGCATTTCTGTGTAATTTCGCATGTGGTGTTGCATTATGTCCGGGATGATGCACGTCTTTTTATTTTTACCGTAGCTGTTTTGATATTGGAGTAAATGCTTATTTTCGAAACATCCCCATTTCTTTGAAATGGTTTCGTCCGTTTATGCAACTGTTACTGCGCTAATGACGACCAGTCGCGCTGTCCTGATACACCGCGAATGTGCGAGTGTTCCCTGTAGACAGTCCCGGGAGTCATTTTTTGCACATTCCAGGAGCCAACCAAAATACGTTCATGAACCGAGTCCAAAAAACCGAAACGTGAAAATCGGATGATCGGACCTGATGTACATTTCTCTTTCTATAGATTGTACACACAATACACACATCTTTAGATTATCTGGCCATGGCAGGTTAAAAAAAAGTAACCCTGAATCATATTAGATTAGCGTAAATGCATGTGTAAATGCGTTCAAAACAAGAAAAAAAATTGTTTCCGGGTATTAATCTCTTGAATCACGGCGCTGAATATTGACGCAGAAATATTTCGGGCATCGCGCGCCCTTCCCGCGTCACGTGTAGGCATCTCGCATCTCTGATTGGTTGTTGCGTCTTAAGATGACTGAGCCGACGCGCGTTTAAACAATTTTTCTTTGTTCGATTTATCACACTTCACAGAGAATTGTCGCCAATGGCTACTTCTTTTTGTTGCAATATATAATACTTCACGGAGAATTGTCGCCTATGGCTTCTTGTTTATAATTCAATTTTGGTATGGATCAGTATGTTTTTTTCAACTTATAGGTTTTATTCAACTTACTACATTAAAAGAATGACTAAAATTTAACTTTGAAAATCTAGTTTTGCCATGACCTTAAAATTGCATTGAATGCCTTTAGCCTATAAATATTTGTCTGCAGTAAAATTAACTTTAAACCTTTATCTTTTAATTAATTTTCAGGTGGCGCCTTTGGACATGTTCACAGAGGCTAACACGAAAACTAACCTGCCTGCTCAGATAGAGCTGTATGCCACAGGCTCCGACACCTACAATTTCATGTTCATCGCTAAAGGCGGGGGTTCAGCCAACAAGACCTTCTTATACCAGCAGACCAAGGCACTTCTGAACCCGGAGAAACTCACCAAGTTCATTGATGAAAAAATAAAGGTATTTTGATGAATATATATGATGAGGAATTATTTTCTTAAGGACAATTAATCAGGACATCATCATGCCACAGTTATTTGTTAGAATTTTAGTTTTGGTGTGTAAATGTACAGTGATTATTATGCTGTTTAATATTAAGAAAATACTCTGTGTGGTATAAATGCTGCTCTGAACTCACCAATGTAAAGTCACTAGCTACAAACATTTACAGTATGTGACTGTATAAGCTAACTGTAGTGAGGCTCAAAATTATGTGCAGTTTTGATGATAACTGAAAGGGGGCATTCCTGAATGGTATAATGTAATGCCCTGTGACTGCATCCTGGTCACAGTACCAAAGATAAAGCTGGATCAAGATCAGTAACTTTTATGACTATCTGACCCGCAGACCCTGGGGACGGCAGCCTGTCCACCCTACCACCTGGCCATCGTGGTGGGAGGTCTGTCTGCTGAGATGACCCTCAAAACAGTCAAGCTGGCCTCCACCAAGTACCTGGACTCCCTGCCCACTTCTGGTGAGTCGGAATCTACTCAAACCTTTCACTGGTAGAGCCAAAAATGTCTATAAAATGTTTAACCGACGTTTGACATTCTCGAAAGTTCCACACATTTTTTGAACATTTGTCTTTCCCAGGTCTTAATAGGGTCTTTTTGGGGAGGACTTGCTTGTTGTGTTTTCCATTGTTCATGAGGTGCCTGTCAGAATGTCTTTAGAAAAAAAAGTTTGAAAACTGGCATGCACATGAAAAGCACTGCACAAAGCCAAGACAATTTACAGGGCAGGACACAATTAATTAATGGACAGATGCTAATATCTTTATAAGTGTGCATTGTGCTAAACAAAGGACTGTCTCCTAGGGGTGTCCCTACCTGACGTGTGAAGAGACTATGGATATAAAATGTCCACCTTGGGTTATTTTGATGTCGTTTTCAGTAACTTTTCTACTACAAAGTCTTGATGCTCTCCCAACTGGGCTTTGTTCAGCAATGTCTAAATCATGTCTATCGTCCGCTAGATGTTTTATAGAAATTTTTGGCTCTACCAGTGTTTACAAATTGAATACAGATTTTCATTCAAAGACAAATCAAAGTCTTCTACTTGATACATCACAAAGACTCCTTTGAACTGAGTGACCACCAAAATCCACCAAAATCTGATTCAGCATTACTAACAGCTAGATCTGACTGTATGTGTACCAGTTCTGAACCAGAAAAATTAATTAGGTACAGGTCCAAAATACTAGTACCTTATCCCTCAGTACAGATATATAATTTTGCACTAATTACATGCCTATTTGTGACCTAAAATGCTGACAGAGTTTGAATTCCCCCATTGGTCCCAAAGTAAGGACAGCAACATTTTTGTGTTACAGACTGACAGTTACTACCCTGAAAGATCTGTTGCATATTAGTTATGCTCTCTCTAGATGTCACTTTGGTCAGGTATGTGTTGCAGAGAAGGAGATGATAACTGAAACATCTCAAGACATTTAGTTTATTCTTGTTTCTTTTATTATGAAAGGAGTTTAGAATTTTTTGAATCGTTCAGGTACAGTTTTAGGTCTAGACTTGTGCCTAAACGGTCCTGTACCTTCACCTAAAATTTGTTAAGGTACACAGCTCTAGATACAGCATAAAAATTAAAACAATGGTGGCAATTTAGGTCATTATGTACAATTCTACCGTTTTTTTGCAAAGTAGTAAATGTTAAAAGTTTTGCTCATTATTCCAAGTTTAAATCTCTAAGAATTTTCAAACACTAATAATGTCTGCCACTTGCTACATACTGTCACAGGGTGCCTGCAACAGCACCGGTTACTATGACGACCGACATCTGGACTAGGTCATTGACCTTATTTTTTTGGAATGGAAAAAGTGGAAGAAAAATCCAAACCAAGCGAATACGTTGTCCTTGTAAACATCATTATGAAACTATCTTCAGATTCTTTGGAAAAAATCTTCAGATTGTCTGAAAAATCTCTAGATTTTCCCAGACTTTTGAAAAAATCTTCAGATTTTTTTAAACAATCTTCAGATTTTTCAGGAAATCTTTAGATTTTTTAAAAACATCTTCAGATTTTTCGATTTTCAATGACGCATGACGACCCCACTGGGTGTCATTATGGTCCGTTATGTGCCAAGGAAGGTTTCCACAAAATATCAACTTTGTAAGTATGAGCTGTAAAGGGCTACCAACATTTGTCCAAAGTGCAATATTTTGTCCAAAATTAATCTGTAGTCTTCAGTTGTCTGTTTTGCACCTCCATTTCAGGAAATGAGCACGGCCGAGCCTTTAGAGATGTAGAACTAGAGGAGAAGGTGCACAAACTGTCCCAGGTGATGGGCATGGGCGCACAGTTCGGCGGGAAATATTTCTGTCACGACGTGCGCGTGGTCAGACTGCCCCGGCACGGAGCGTCCTGTCCTGTAGGAATCGGCGTATCGTGTTCCGCAGACAGACAGGTGAGTCAAGTCCCAACCAGAAACAAACAAACAAGAATTCTGAGATCTCAGACCTCCATGAAATAATCTACAAGTCACTTTTTTGGAAGGTTGAAAATCTCTTTTGAACAAAACTCTCCTTTTGCTAGCTGGTGCACTTATAGGCACCATTCCCACTAGCTATAAGGATAGTATTGTCTAGATCAAATTAATTTGCTTCTATCCGGCTTTGAACTGGCTTGATTCAGCTCAAAGCTGGGTGAGTGCAAATCAATTTGGGTCGATTCAAACAATTTTATTCTAGTGGGAACAGGGCCTTAGGGTACTAAATTGGATGATGGAATCTCCTTCTATATCCAACAAGTCAACAGCTGCTGTTGAGGAGATCATGTAAGGACTAAATAACACCTGTAGACTGAAGCAACAACACATGCACAGTCACACAGACAAACACACAAGCAAACAAGCTAAAAACAATACCTTCATTTTTCATTGAGGTAATTACAAACTAAGTGAAAAATGTGAACAAGGTGTTTATGGGGTGAATTGAAGTTTGCTAATTAGGTGTTATGCCATCATAAAATGATAAATGTCTCAGAGCAGATATGTGTAGCTAATCCTTAGAGTTAGACCCCATTGATACCAGACTTTAGATAACCAGATATTAAACATATGGGAATAAAACTGGTTGAAATTAGTCTGGTCTGAACTCAAATCAACCAGTAAACCTTCAGGGGTTTTAACCCGGTTTTCAAAAATCACTTTGCGAGTAGGTGCGGTTAGGGTTTTGTAGGGCCTGTCAAAAAACTTGGTCTGAAGGCTATAAGCTACATGTACATGACTATGTATAATTCACATTTTTATATAATTCTTGAAGGTTCACAGTGTCAATTGTTGCCAAGTTTGACCTTCAAACTTTTTGTTTGAAGTTAGTTTCAAAAGTTTTATTCATTTTGCAATCATGATGGAATCACTATGCACAGCCTGGTCAACAGACCAGACCAAGCTCCTTAATATAATAAATATTGAAAATTATCACAGGAAACAGCAATGTCTTTAAAGAGTGTCATCTGGTTTTCCATAATCAGGCACTAGGAAAAATCACAGCGGACGGAGTGTTTCTGGAGCAGCTGGAGGAGGACCCCTCCAAGTACCTGCCAGAGATCAAGTCTGATCAGCTGAGTGGGGATGTGGTGCAGGTAGGCAGTGTTCAAAATACTTTTTTGAACCAGATTGCCCAGTGGGCAATTTACGGCAAAAATTAGGTTGCCCATCAGAATTTTAGGTTGCCCCACCTACACACACACACACACACACACACACACACACATATATATATTATATAAGTTACTACTTTCCTTCAAATTAAGTTACAGTAATGTTAGTATACATGGTTACACAAATATTACATATTAAGCCTTTGAGTACATTTATAACAGCCTTTACAAATGTAGTTAACTGATACTAGTAATAGCCATTAATAACTAGAATTAAAAAGCAACTGCTGGATACAGTGGTGCACGCCAAGTGGCCATGATTTTTTTTAGGGGGGGGGGATTCTTAAAATTCAGGTAGCACACTGGGCTATACCTTAGGTTCAAAAATAGGTTGCCCCAAGTAATATTTGGTTGCCCGGTATTTTGCACACTGAGGTAGGTCTTTGTATCTTTTAAAGCTGCATGCTGTATAAAAATTAGGCCACAGCATGTAAATTTTATAGATGACATCCTCTTAAGACAAATACTGAAAAAAAAAGGCAGGCCAAAAAAAAAAAGATTCCTGCTTTTTCACATTAGATCAAACAATCAGCAAATGAGTCATGAAGGTAGGTATCAAGACATTGAGACTTGTCATTATAGCAGCCAATGAATGGTGATGTACTGAAATTTGATGCTTTCTTTTTAATTAGGTTAACCTGAACCAGCCAATGAGTGAAGTTCTAAGTCTACTGAGCCAGTACCCAGTGAGAACGAGGCTGAGTCTGAGTGGTACCATGGTGGTGGCTCGTGACATCGCCCATGCTAAGATCCAGGAGCTGCTGGACAGTGGTCAGCCCATGCCACAGTACCTGAAGGACCACCCTGTGTACTACGCTGGACCGGCTAAAACACCGGAGGTATGTTAGACCACAGAAATGTCACACATTTTAGTTTCTTTACTTCTTGTTTACTGATTCATGATTGAACATTCAGGATATGAGTCAACCCCCAAGCACATTTATACAATGTATTACCACCAACAGTGGAAGAAAGTTAAATTATAGATTTAGTTGTTCTTAGTATTAGTTTCTTCATATTAAACTTCATGATAAAGTTAGTCGTGAGTGACTTAGACTAAGAGTTGCAAGCTTTTTTCTATTGTCAATGCCTTTGCCGTTCTAACTTCTGTTGTAACGTATCATTTAGGTCAATCGGGATGCCTGTGTCTGTAACTTTTAAATGTTTTTATTTTACCTAATTCAAAAAAATATTGCCCAGAATTGAAGACTTACTAAAAGATGAACAAAGAAAGACATCAAATGGTACTTCTAAAAGCATTTAATTCAAGAGTATGTTCAGTCTTTAACTCAAGACTACTGTATATGCCACACAGATCAAACTGATTATCTTATCAATACTGTAGCATACTAACACACCCTAATGTTCTGACACCCCTATGATCTGACACCCTTAGGCCGCAACAATTTTATTTGTTGGTTCTCAGAATTTTTCAGAAAAAATATGAAGTAACAGGGCAAAAAAAAAATTAAAAAGAAAAACAGGTCTAGGCATCCTATTATAGCCCCAAATGCTACGCTAGGAGTCAACACAAAAGGCTGGGCTGATATTTTAACAATGAATTTTTTAATATTAATCAAACCATTGCATTGATAAATGGAAGAACTGTTAACAATTAGGAAGAAAAGGACTTTCCTCAACTGTTGGAGGCAAAATATGAGCATTGTTGAGTTGATTCAGAACCGGAATCTTTTTTTTTTGCAAATCAGAAAAAAATGAAGAGGTGAATCCGAGAACCAACAAATTAAATTGGTGTAGCCTTATGATCTTATGATGTGTGTCCACCCTGCAGGGCTGTGGGACATAGACACTAAGTATCTGTGTGTTGAAGGTGACAGACAGTGTGTGTGTCCACCCTACAGGGCTGTGGGACATAGACACAAAGTATCTGTGTGTTTAAGGTGACAGATATCTGTGTGTGTCCACCCTACAGTGTGGGACATAGACACAAAGTATCTGTGTGTTGAAGGTGACAGATATCTGTGCGTGTCCACCCTACAGAGCTGTGGGACATAGAAACAAAGCAGGTGACAGATATCTGTGCGTGTCCACCCTACAGTGTGGGACAAAGACACAAAGTATCTGTGTGTTGAAGGTGACAGATATCTATGTGTCCACCCTACAGTGTGGGACAAAGACACAAAGTATCTGTGTGTTGAAGGTGACAGATATCTATGTGTCCACCCTACAGTGTGGGACATAGACACAAAGTATCTGTGTGTTGAAGGTGACAGATATTTATGTGTCCACCCTACAGTGTGGGACATAGACACAAAGTATCTGTGTGTTGAAGGTGACAGATATTTATGTGTCCACCCTACAGTGTGGGACATAGACACAAACTACAGTATCTGTGTGTTGAAAGTGACAGATATCTATATGTGTCCACCCTGCAGGGCTATGCCTCTGGCTCCCTGGGTCCCACCACTGCCGGCAGGATGGACAGTTATGTAGACTCCTTCCAGGCACAGGGAGGATCCATGGTCATGCTGGCCAAGGGGAACAGGAGTAAACAGGTAACTTATAGCAAGAAAACACCTGTATACAATTTGTACATTGTACATTTAGAAACTGTCAAGTACTAGTACTTATTGTTATAACTTATAAATATAAGTAGCATCCACTGCTTTGCATCAATGACTATTGCAGTCTGTTGAACAGGAAAGTATTGAATTTTTGCACATCGCAGGAATAACAAATATTTGACTCTCTAATATCAGCTTTGCTGCCTTGAGAGTCAGTGTAATGCCTTGTTGCATTTTTTCAATAAATAAATAAATAGATAATGTGATGTAGGAGGAATTCAAGATGACCAATATTTTGGAATAGAATGTAAATTACACGAAAACAACAGAGAGAGCAGAACTTTGTAGACTAAGTTTGATACAATCCATGTTCCGGACCCCTACTTCATACACCCTCTGCAAGTTGATGCACTCCTGTTACAACGTAATTCCCTGACATACAGTCTGTCGTAGACGAACATTGTTACAGCAAGTGAAGGAGATCCTCAATCACTGTGAATATTCCTACCTACTGCATTTTGATCTAAGTACAACCTGTGATCCTCAACATATGTATAAAGTATTAAGGACAAGGCTTTCAGACATGTACATTCAAACTTTCTTCCATAGTTTGTCTGTTGATACTGGTAAACTTAGATTTCATAGAAAATGTAAAACTGAATACTGTTTAGAACAATACCTAGAACACTGTGACTTCGAGCAGCGCTCCACTGTTAGTAAAATACAAATATATACATGGTGTACTTCTAATGAACTCAGATACTGAAACATAGATGTTCTTACCTCTTTTACTACATGTATTAGACTCTAGGAGAAGTTGAGTTACATATTTTTGTACAGTGTATAATGTAACGTTATCTGTATTCTATTCTCCTGTAAGTTGTAACCTGGCCAAGCGAAATGTTTTGATGTTTAAATATTGCTTAATGTTAATCTTTCTTACATGCTACATTACGTGTAGGTCACCAAAGCATGTAAGAAGTACGGAGGGTTTTACCTGGGCTCCATCGGTGGTCCTGCTGCAGTCCTGGCTGAACACAGCATCAAGAAACTGGAGGTGCTGGAGTACCCTGAGCTGGGCATGGAGGCTGTCTGGAAGGTATGTTGTTGTTTTTTTTCAAAAACAATTTATTTGATTTTTTTTTTAATTATTGAAATTGCAAGAATGCAATACACGCGGAACAAAAGCAGTTGTTGCTGGTGTTGTGTCCCGCACATAGAAACGAAAACTGGACAGACAATACTCATTTTCACTTGAGTTTAGTGGGGAAAGTCGTGTAAAGTGCCTTTCCCAAGTTCACAAGATCAGTGGTATGTCAGGACTCGAACCCTGGACATGCACGCTGCCGTTGTGCCACACGACCCCACTTATGGTTAAAAAGATAAATTAATGTTGTCACGTATAGTTACTAGAGAATTATTTCAGCAGTGACAAGTTTTTGAAGGGTAAGAGTACTAACCTCCAAATTTTTGATGACTCTCAGTCCATCTTGAGACTAGGCCACTGATAGTCTTTGATAATTTAGAGGTTAGTACTCACCCTTCAAAAACTTACTGCTGAAAGAATTCTCTAGTAACCAAAAACAATTTAATACTAAGTAAACAAGGAGAAGTCGTAGACATTGTCCCTCCATGAAATAGCTTGTTATTTTGTAATCTTTTGGTGTATTTTAATAGAGATATTATGAGTCAAACTTTGTTTTTATCAGCAGAATGATAGATGTCTATAGATGTCTATCCTTTAAGAATTTTGTTGTGGCACTTCGTATTGGAAGGGGTTGCCTATATTTATCAAGCTGTCATGTGCAGGCGTTTAGTGTCTTGTTACCATGGTTTGTTTGAGGTCAATGACCTCTCAAGCACAACATATTTAACAAACCACAGATGACCCAGTTCCCTGCTGAATGACCGATTAAAGATAAGATATATTTCCTGCAGACATGGTCTAGAGGTAAAAATAGATTGGCCTGACCTGCCAGCTGGAGGTATAAACAAAAACACTCTGTACCAATTTGGGGTCAAACAGACCATCCTATTATGAAATAGGGGTGAAGATGTGAAAATCCTTTTAAATAAGCAATGCAAATCTCTGACAACCTGCTAATGCATCTAAAACGCAAAGACAATCAGCGTCTACCCACATACCAAAAATGATCGCCAACCATCCACCGGGTTCTGAGATCATTCAACGCAAACAATCTGACATTGAGATAGCGATTCCGGTTCAAAGCAAACAGCTAGGGGGCCCAAATTTACATCAGTAAACCATTGTAACCACAACTACATGCTACCTTAGCATCACACACACAGACCATAACGTGCCAACAATAGAATAAAAAAATTAAACTGCAGTACCAAGGTCAATCACCAGGTGCTCAAAGTCAACCTACACAATCTCCAAGGCCCCATCCATCAATCTGCCAAATATCATACAGTTCCTTCTCACCGATCTTCAGATATCAGACCAAACATGAAACAGAGTAAAAACAATACCCCCCATTTACATGGAGGGTAATTACAATGATTGTGCTAATTAAGTACTGCCAGGAAAAATTTTATTTCATAGTTTTAGACATTTATTATCCAATGCAATTTCAGGGTGGCAATTTTGAAATTTTCTGTCAAATTTCTGGTCATTCTTTTGATGTAGTAAGTGGAATCAATTCTATCCAATGGTGATATCTGTACTAATATGCAGAAAGCCGTCTCAAGTTGGTTGCTTGTATTTGGGCTGGTTTTATTTCTTTATTGGCTGTGGTGTAGAGAGATGCCTCACATGAATCCACAGTGTAGGTTTTTTTCCCTACTTCAAATGTCAAAAAATGTTATGACGAATAGAAGTAAATGTCAGACATATTTTCTTGTCTAGAATATTTGCTTTGCTGCCTGTAAATTGCATTGGATGCCTTTAAAATATGACAATGATTGCACCAATCATTACTTTGTAAACTAATTGACATAGGTAATCACCTTGGCTATTGAATGAATTTCTTAATGTTTTTTTTATTGTAAATAATTATATATTGATCTTAATTCAGTGTTCAGCACTGCGACTGTTAATAAACTCAAATTGTATCTTTTTTCTTATAGGTTGAGGTGGAGAACTTCCCGGCATTCATTGTTGTTGACAACAAGGGAAATGACTTCTTCAAAGAATGGCAAACAGAATAATGAACAAAGTTATCCTCACAACAGACACTACAGTTTTCAGTTGTCTTCACACAACATTCTGTAGCTGTTATTGTCCAAAGATTTGCAGAATAAAACATCTACAATATTATGAGCTGTGTCCTTCTGCTATATGAAATATTTTATCTATCGCATTGAAGAGGTTATTATCATCTATCATGTATCCGTAAAGCCACAGCAATTTAATTTTTTGGTTAACGGATTCACCCAATTCATTTTTTTCTGATCCATTTCATTTTTTTCTGATTTGAAAAAATAAAATAAGAAATTCAGAATTAACTGCAAAATGCCCCGAACAGTTGAAAACAGTCTTTTTCTTCCTAGTTGTTAGTTATTCCATCTTTCAATGCAGTGGTATCATTAAAAGTTCAAAATTCATTGTTTAAATTTTGAACCAGCCTGGTGTGTTGACTTCATGGCTCCTATATCGTACCATTTTGGGCCATAATAGGATGCCTAGGCCTGTTTTTTTTTTTCGCCCTCCCCCCGCTCCATTATTTTTCTAGAAAAATCTGTTGAGTTTGCGTTCAGAAATGGTCATTAATCCTCCTGATGAAAGTGACAGTCGTTGTTGAAAATTTGATTCTTGTGTTGCCTTTGTGTAAACTTGAGCACTATTCTATGATTACTACTGTACAGTGTAACACAGATGAACTTACTATAATGATAACATTATCTGACTTTGATATGTATACTGGATACTACAATTGTTACAGTATAGTACATTAAATTGTAACTCTGGTGAATGCTCATATTTCTTTATTTCTGTCAAAGGATCAAGATGAAGTGGCCTTCTGGCACTTTTTAAGCAGTTGGATATAGAGTTTAGGCAGCAGGGAGGAACTTAAACTGATATACAAACAGGACTCGAAAGTTTGCATCCATTCAACCTTCAGCATGCTAAAGAAGATTTTCGTACCATGGCAGATTTGTATTGGTTATGCCACACCAATTTAATTTGTTTTTTCTCGGATTCGCCTCTTAATTTTTTTCTGACTTGCAAAAAAAATAAATTCTGGTTCTGAATCAACTAAAAAATGCTCATATTTTGCCCGCAACAGTTAAGGAAAGTCCTTCTCTTCCTAGTTTATTCAGTTTTCCATCTATCAATGCAGTGGTTTGATTAAAAGTTCAAACTTTTAAACATCAACCCAGCCTTTTGTGTTGACTTCATGGCTCCTATCGTATCATTTGGGGCTATAGGAGGATGCCTAGACCTGTTTTTATTTTTATTTTTTTCTGCCCTGTCGCTTGATATTTTTTCTGAAAAATCTGAGAACCAACAAATTAAATTTGTGTGGCCTTATGGTGTTAAGCATCATGAAGGAGGCTAAGAAAACACAAAATTCACAGTTTTTACTTGCAAATGTTAACCAACTCATTATTAAAACCACAAAAAATCAGAAGCAAAAAAAAAGACCTCAGATACAAAAAGGGCCTGTTAAATAAAAAATAGTACCAGGTCCAGACCTGGTCCGGTAAAAACAGACTGAGGGAGTATATTTTTCTCCAGTCTTTTACTGCAAAACCTACATTGTAAGAAAAGGTTTTCCTTGCAATGACTAACGTCTTCTTTTGTCATGTTTCTGCATAGATCTAATCTCATCTAAATACAGTAACTCTTACTGTAACAGTTACAGTATTATACTATATGTGCATCTTCCTGCCTTGTATCACAGGCAGATTTGTTTTGATTTGATTTATTTAACAAAAAAATTAACTGTATAAACAAGTATACAGCCAGGACTGCCCAAGTAGCCAGAGCTCAAGGCTATTATAAAGAGCTACATGTAGCCCTCATATAGAAACATGTAGTGTCATTCTATATAATAACATATTACTATAAAGCAAGGCAATAAAACTACATATTACATGTATGTATAAGGATGTAAAGTCTATATTTATTACACATTTAGGCTGTATTGCGGACATTGTAAACACAATACATGTATTGTTACTGTAGTATCAATGGTATTAGTTGTTACTGTAAGTTATGTCCTTTATCCTATTGGGTAAGAAATGCAACAAGAAACGTTCAGGTCTTGAAATATACCCAAGGTCATCAATTATTATAATTTTAATGTGCACTTGTCTAGGACACTACGTACAATTCAAGGTATGCAGCGCTTCAAAGCCCAATTTCAATCTAACCCATTGATTCTTCTCCAGTATTGTACTCCTTGGGAAAGACATTTATTACATGTACATGTATGTAACACAACTTTCCTCACTTGAAAATGAGTACCTAGCTTTGGTTAGGAACATCATAACGCCTCAAGCCAGGAATAGAACCCATGACCAGACCTCAATCTACATGTAGTATCTGCTGGCTTAATCGCTCAACTATCTTTCTTTTTCTTGGCATCCTTCCGACTCGAGAGACAATGCATGGAGACCATGTCAGTCCCTACACCTGAGTGAGGAGGGTTGACACGGTGGCCTTCGCGTGGATTTGTATAACTTAAAGGTGGATAACAGGTTGCGAATCTGATGAGACCCACACACTTTGGGCATCCGTCTTCCCCTGCCAATCCATATCGAGGGAGACAATGTTGGTTCCGGTTGGGATGCTTGTAGCAAGCTGCCGAATGACTTGGTTAAGCCTTGATCACGCCGGCCCGCCTGGCGCTGCTGAAGACAACTGCCGTAGGAGACTTGTCCCTCTAATTGAGGGGGGATACGTGTAAAGTGCCTTTCCCAAGGACACAACATTAACATTGGGGCGCATGTTCGGGGTCTCCTTGTTTAAGCACCGAACACTCTACCACTACGCCACACAACACCACAGTTGCTCAATTATTCATAGATGCTGTAAATCTATACAGGACGCAATGTCTAGTCAGGTTCAATCTTAAACCTCGGTGGACACTTCAGAAAGGTGTCTGGTAGCCGGACCACTCAACAGCCATTCTACACAATATATTTATTATTCTAAGCCAATTTTAGAAATATGTATAAAATCTAAAATCATCTGATATCATCTGTGTTGAGAGGCTCCAGGGATGTCCTCATTACTAGAACCGTAGGGTCCCTGGCGAGTTGGCCCTGACGGATATTCTGTGACTTGGACAGGCTCTCTGGCTTCTTCTGTAAAAAAACACAGGAACAAGTTGTTTATAAATTATTTGTTAATTTTAGATTCCTCTAAGTATAATTGTAAAAGGGAGGGCAAAACAACTTACAAGTTTGGCCTCACAGGCACTACTGTACAATAAGTTATTAATTATATTATATTACATTAATTAATAATACATCACATTGTCATTACATACATTACAGTATATACATTAAAATATGAATACATGATAATTAAAAACTAGTATAAGGTCTTAATTCTGCTCGGTATATAAGCAAACCTACAAGTAAAAAAGGTGGACAATGTGCAAGAAAAGTCTAAACTGTTACAGTATTGTATATGTGATCAGCCCAGGGATCATGGAATGAGTCAATATATAGCGCAAGAATTCGAATTTGTATAGTACTTAGCAGCACAGGGTGTACAATTATTGCAGAGTAGTGAATAACTGTAAATTAAGTACTAGTCTAGTAAATTAAGTAATACATAGTTTAGGCCATGTTGATTTGATTATATGGATGACATCCTCCGGGAGCCCCAAAACTGATGCGCGCGTGCGAATAAAAAAAAAGTTTTGCAAAAAAAAAAGTTCTTTTCATTATGAAATCTACGTGGTCATGAGGGTTGAGCAAATGGCACAGAATATGGTTTGGCAAATAATCTAGTCTTCAAGTTCATTTCTTTACAATTTCGTCTTTTTTCGTTTGATTTTGGCATTCTACGACATTGGTATAGTTTTTATTAATTTTTTTTGTAACTTATGGTATATTTTTGCTCATTTTGCAACTGTTTTGTACAATTTAAAGTATGGTTGAAAACTTTTTTTTTTTTGGAAACGGCCGAAAATTCATGTGTGCGCGGATGTCATCCATATAATCAAATCAACATGGCCTTACATGTATAATGCTGGACATACAATCATGTAATGTTTGAAACAAAGATCAAATAACATTGGCTTCCATATCTTAAAGCCGGCTCAGTTTTGATCTTCTAATCCATCCTATTTCCGAGATATACAGACAGGCAACTCAATAAGAACTAGTATATTTTTTAAATTAAATAACACTTATTAGTGCTTACTTTCCAAGGCATCGTCTGCATTGTTCGGTGGGTCCTTAGAATCCTGAACAGCCTCAACTTTTGGATGAAAAATAGATATTTAATTATGATAATAATCAAAACCTGAATAGGGAGCCCATCATTTGCTATTGAATTGTTAAGTTGCTACTTGTTACAATCAAGATGGATGACAGAATGAAGAAGACGACATTTGTTTATTGTTATTAGTAGAACATTTTAAAAAAACTATTTCTCCAGTATTGTACTCCTCAACAGAACACCTTCCCGGACTGATTAATCTGTACACCTGGGGTCCGCGCGGACCCCAAAGCAGTTTTTTACAAATTTTTAGAAATCATCAACATGCTACCAGCTAAATTGTTTTGCAAATTGATGTGTGAACCTTTTAGGCCACATTACGTACAGAAATCACATATTTTGACCTTTTCCTTTTTTTTTTGGTGAAGAAAAGACAAAAAGAAGAAATGCCCGATTTTTACACCCTATTTAGACCGAGTGTTTTTTTTAGGTTTGCGCCAACTTTAATCTTATATAATAGCGCCTGAACGGCTTGAGCTGTACCTATATCCTTTCAGCACAATAAGGACATTGTGAACAGCTGAACAGGGAATCCAAGTGACTCCAGACCAACTGCTAGTCATATAAAATATAATAATCTGTAAAACAAAAGAAAAACACAGAAAATCACCTTTTAAAGAAAAATGCTACTAACCTCTAGATGACCTTGACCCATTGTTTACAGGGAGTTCCAGAAGTGGATCATGAGCATCCTCTGTAGAAAAAACAACAACAACAAGGTTGTCAATGGGGAATTATTGATCCTTGAAAGAACATTTAGCACCAATGTTATACAGCTACAATTATAGAACTTTTTTGTAATATAATGTGACATGCAATATACATGTACATACATACATGTAGTACAATGAAATCAACTTACAAAATTGTTAATAGTATAGAGAAATGAGTCAAATTTTCCTTACTTTGGTCCAGATCTTCTGTGTTGTTCTCTGGGTCATGGTTGTCTGTCACAGGGCAACCTGCAGACAATTGGTCAGGATGATTTGCTGATGTCAGAATTATACATAGATAGACAGAAAATTTTCCACTAAAATTGTGAACTATTGAACAAATGTAAGGCATTTAACTGTTGCAAAATTAAGGAGAATTGTTGCTATATATCTCAGGGGGCCACACCTTGAATGATTGCTTTTGGATCAGTCCAGGAATCTGTAGGACAGAAAATAAAATTATCTAATTTATTACTTGTCTGTAATTATAGTATATACAAACTTACAGAATGATCATGTATTGCAACATATTATAATATGTGCAGAATTATAGCAAGCAGAAAGTTCAACTTATGTTAGGTGCAGCAGGTCCATACCAGGCCATATATATAATTTAATTGGGTTGATTTTTACAAAACAGTGAGGAGTCAAACCTACAGATTAAATTCTAATATCCAATGTATACATAGAATTATGTACATGCATACTATATATGCATACATATGTGACAAATGCAAACACGTGATACAAAGAACTATAAAATAAATAAGGATGTGTACCTTGATGATAGGCAGTGTGATTGTTAGACTCACCAGCCCCTCTAGGTGCTGTCTCCTGCTCCATGTTTTCATACTCTATTGGACCAGCACTGGGGACAGCACTACTGGGCTGGCAAGCTGTGAAGGTCGTGGATCGCTCTGCCGATTCAGCTCCGCTGTTTGGCTGCTCAGCAATGACAGAGCGCTGTGGCTGATCACCTGTAGCAGACCTGGTTTGGGGGCCTGTAGGGCCACTTTCAAACTGTATTTGCTGCACAGCACTGTTTGGTTGTGCAGTATCATAACTAGCAGCACTCCTTGGCTGAGCAATGAGACTACTGTTTGGCTGTCCAATGACAGCACTGCTTGGCTGGCCAATGACAACACTGCTTGGTTGGCCAATGACAACACTGCTTGGCTGACCAACTGGACCACAATTGTCTTGTGACTGAGGTGATGTTGTCCCATTATAGGCAGCAGCATAGACAGCTCTAACAGTGGAAGGAGGGGGTACAGCAGCAGGAACAGATCTATTTGCCAAGGGAGGGGTGATAGCAGCACCGGTGACAACACCATTAGAAGAGGGGCGAGGGACAGCATTTGCCAAGGAACATGGGATAGTTGCATGAATAGCCCCATTTGGGGAGGCCTGTAGGATATCAGCAGGAACTGATACATTTTCGGAATAAATAGCAGGAGAGGAGACAGCTGCATTTTGAGGAAAAGCAGTATGAGGGACAGCACTGTTTGAAGGAGATGGAGGGATAGCAGCACATGGGACAGCACCATTTGAAGATGCTGGAGGGATAGCAGCATAAGAGACAGCACCATTTAGGGAGGCTGGTGGGATAGCAGCATAAGGGACAGCACCATTTTGAGAGGATGGAGGTACAGCAGAATGAGGGACAGCACCATTTAGGAAGGCTGGTGGGATAGCAGCATGAGGGACAGCACCATTTTGAGAGGCTGGTGGCACAGCAGCATGAAGGACAACACCATTTTGAGAGGCTGGTGGCACAGCAGCATGAGGGACAGCACCATTTTGAGAGGCTGGTGGCACAGCAGCATGAGGGACAGCACCATTTTGAGAGGCAGGTGGGACAGCAGCATGAGGGACAGCACCATTTTGAGAGGCTGGAGGTATAGCAGGATGAGGGATAGCTCCATTTTGATGGGCAGGTGGGACAGCAGCACGAGGGACAGCAGCATTCTGAGGGACTGGAGGGACGGCAGTATAAACAGCACTGTTACCAGGGTTGTAGGTGACAACAGCTCCGTTGGCCGCATTGTTTGTTGTCATTTTCTTTCTGATATAACCAATGATACCAACTCCTGCAAGCAGAGCTCCAACTGCACTCATAACTATCAGAGTGATCTTCCACCATTCTAACCCATCTTTATGCTGTAGTGAGGTGGAGGGAAGAGTGCCTGGAGAGAGATGGAATAAAATATACTTGTAAGTTAAATACACTCACTCATGACATCAAACACATCAAGGAAAGTACCTCTTTATATTTGGTTTTACAAGAGAATCTTTATATTAATTACTGACTTTATAGTATAAATTACAGCCCTTTAATAGTATATACCTGCACATGTAAGTAATATTGCAGCACTACTCTACCTGAGCAGTGTACTGCAGATAACATTACTGGTTGTACTGCAGAGTATGGTACATGTACCTGTACTTGATGTTACATGTAGTTTAAGTATACAGCATCACTACATGTACCTACATTTGTACCTACAGAAGGCGGAATACTGCAGATAACATTACTGGTTGTACTGCAGAGTATGCTACATGTACCTGTTCTTGATGTTACATGTAGTTTAAGTATACAGCATCACTACATGTACCTTAACCTACAGAAGGCAGAATACTGCAGATAACATTACTGGTTGTACTGCAGAGTATGGTACTTGTACACGTACATGTACCTGATTAAGTATTGTACGTACATGTATGCAGCATTACGTACTACCTTTAAACTACAGAGAGCAGTGCACTGCAGACAGCATTGCTGGTACTTGTACTGCAGAGTATGGTACATGTACGTACCTGTACCTGATGTTACATTGAATGTAATGTAATTAGCACTACTAACAAAGACCATACCTACCTACAGAATATGGTGCACTGCAGACAGCATTGCTGGTTGTACTGCAGAGTACAGCTCTACAGTACCTGTACCTGCTGATGTTATAAGTAAGTATGCAGCACTACTACATGTATCGTACCTACAGAAGGCAGTGCACTGCAGACAGCATTACTGGTTGTATTGCAGGGTTCTCGTGTCTCTAACCCTTCCTCCTCACACCTCCTGCACTCTCCACACACCTGCACCAGAGATGTCTCGTTGGAGAAGAAGCCATCTTGGCAGGTGATGCAGACTGTATCACTCTTGTATGTGGCTGTGTGGACAGATTTGTACATCCAGTGATGAGCTAGTGATATTGGAGTGATGTACGCTTTTAGAATATACAATATTCCCTTCCACAGTGTCTGACTATTAGACTGAGTGTAAAATGACATAATGGCATTACATACAGAAAAAAATACTATACTATACCTCATTTTAAAATATGACATTCAAACAAATCCCAGGCATGTATACAAGTAAACTTTTACAATTTATAAAGACCTATGGTATCATTAAAGACACTACACATTAGCGCACCAGCAGTGCACCTGTAAGAAAATGTATGTGTCAGAACTTTGGAAGAACATATTATTATAGGCCACATCGACTTAATATTATGGATGACATCCCCACGCGCATTGATTTTCGCCTGTTCTCAAAGAAAAAAGTCCTTCCAGGCTCTGGCCTGTCTCAGGCCTTGGAAGTCCATGGTAGTTTGCAACATTGCAATTGCGGAACCGGTGGTAACTCTAGACGATGGCACCCAGGCTACCGAAGCTCCATGACTCAAGAACTCACTACGTACAGTGCAGACCCATAAATTTCGGAAAAAGCCAGAATGTGCCAGCCTGCCATATTCGTCGCTATTTTTATTAATGTTCTGCCTCAATACAGGCTTTGTATTCCTGTGGTTTAGTAGACAAGTATAGCATTTTTATTTTTTGTCATAATTTTTTTTATTCACCCGTGCGCACTAGTTTGTGGGTCTGCAGAGGAGCTTTAAAAACCTAGATATAATATTTAGTAGTTTGACCTCCTACCTTGATGTGCCACCCCTTGGCCTGGTCCACATGGTGTTTTAACTTTACATCCCGGCTCTACCAGACTCCAGAACCTGTCCTGGGGACACTGGCAGATGTTGTCCTGGGTTTGTGAGCAGGGTAGGATGGGAGGGGCTGACCTGCCGTCCAGCCAGGCCGCGCTACAGTCGCTGCAGCTGTGACAGCGGAGGTTACTGGAGGGACAGGGCTGGTACTTGTTGTCTGGACAGACAAGACACGTGCTCCGGGTACTGCCTGGGGTGCAGTGATCTTCTACATAATGACCTGTGGAAACACACGTATGCATGAAGAATATTATTTATTAACCCTAAACAGTACACCTGGGGTCCGCGCGGACCCCAGCACTATATATTCTGTAATATCTTTTTTGTTTCTAAAGATTTTTTTCTGAAATTTTAGGTAATTGTCACCCACAAAGTTGTCTCTCAATACAGTGCAGAAAACTCCGTTTCTACCGTTTAAAAAAAAAATTATATCTGATTTTCTTTTGGGGTCCGCGCGGACCCCAGCCGGCGCTCGATCGTAATGGATACACTGGCGTTCTTATACATTACCTTATTTCCGTTTTTATATGTTTTTATGCACTCATCGTATGTCTACCAAGTTTTCAGAGAATGGTGTAGTAATAGAATTAAATTTTAATAACTTTGGTGTAATTATGACGTCATATGATGTCAGAGCTAATAATATAGTCCGCCATATTGGATTTTGACAAATGACGTCATCAAATTAGCATATTCTATGCATATTAAATGATGTAACTTATATTTGATTATGTAAGATGTTATTAATGTTGGAAAAGAAGTGTAATTTAATACAAAACTCAGAAAAATTTTATGTTTAATCCAAAATTACTTCTATTTTCAAAAAAAACTGCCCGTTGCCATGGCAACACAAAAAAACATCAACTTACTAGTATTAAACTAATATGAACTTTTTTCCAGAGACATTCTAGGAAAGGTCTCCAAATTTGATACTTCTAGCGCAAGCCGTTTAGCCGCTATCTGAGATCAAAGTTGGGCCTCAAAAGCCCCTTCAATCTGAAATGGGTTTAAAAGTCGGGTATTTCTTCTTGTCTTCTTTTCTTCACCAAAAAATAGAAAAAGTTCAAAATGTATGATTTTTATATGTAATGTGGACACAGAGGTTCCCACATCAGTTTGCAAAACAATTGAGCTGGTATCATGTTGATAATTTCTAAAAATCAGCAAAAAACTGCTCTGGGGTCTGCGCGGACCCCAGGTGTACAGATTAATCAGTCCGGGAAGGTGTTCTGTTGAGGGTTAAAGAAGCCTTTTAATGGATCCTTACATGTTTTGTAAGGTACATAATCAGCATAATTCGTAATAAGTTCTGACAATTTAATGTTACTTTGTAATTTATGAACGGCGATAACCCCCATGCAAGGTCTCTACAGCTTTCATACAAGTACTAGTACATCATTTGGAATAGTTTTTTTTTTTGCCTGGAAGCCATTGATTTTTTTTTAAGGGACCATCTTCAAATATCACTACGCATGTTTTGGCCCTGGAGCTTACTATTATTAGTTCAAGCTGTTGCCCCCTGTACGTTAGCCCTGGAAAAAGTCTGGCATCCAGGCTAGATTTCACCAATATTTAACTGATGATAGAAAGAACTGTTAAGTCAGTCAAGTTTCTGGGACTTCATTTCACAGATTAGAAAACTTTTCAATGTTATTGATGAAAAATAGTGGATGCTACTTGAAATCAACATTTCTCAGATTCATATCTTAACTTTGCTCGAGTTCGAAGGAAAACATATTGTTTTTACTCAGTTTCTTCTTCTTCTGTTCCAAACACTAACTTCTGACCTGGCCAATGACATGATTTGTTGATGTCTGTCACCACGGTGACTGGTGTTGGATTACATAATGTTGCAATTTCATGGTCTGCTCTGCTCCTGTCACAATATACTCATAGAACATGTATGATGATGATGATGATGACTGGTTTATTCACATAAACACATAAACACATATGTGAATGTGTTTGAGTAAAAATTAACAGGGCAGACCATATACGAAGGTAAACATTATGCATTTGCTTTGCAAATGTTATTTCTCTAGTTTCTTGTGTATCCTATTACCTAAATGTAGACATTGATATCAACATCAGAAAACCATATGTGTTACCTGCAGGGCAAAGCTCACAGGTCAGGCCAGGTATGGAGGGGTGGGGGTAGGTGTGTTCTGTCGGACAGAAGTCTGGGGTGTTGTCAGCACCTGTAGTCTGGAACAACATGCCATAACTACAGTTAGAGGTGGTGTCACTCACTCACTCCTTCACTTACTCACTCACTCATGCACTCACCAACTGACAAACACTTACCAACTCACTCATTCTCTTACTCATTCACTCCCCCACTCACTCAAGCACTCACTCCCTCCCTACTCACTCACTCCCTACTACTAATACTCACTCACTCACTCACTCACTCACTCACTCACTCACTCACTCACTCACTCACTCACTCACTCACTCATATACTCTGCCAACTACATTCTCCACTACAAGATGTAAGTCACACTTTTGTCATTCACACACAATTTTAGATCCTTCTGCAGTTGGACGTGACAACAGAAAATTGTGTGATTCATGGAAAGAAGAAATTCACGCTCATGACATCAATGGTTCAAACTGAGTCATACATTTGCAAAAAATGGTAGAAAAGTTAAATCTCCAAGCAAACCTTTGCTGCCTACAGTACAAGACAGTGTCCAAAAGGCAAGGCAGACTCACATTGACAAGATATAGTATTAAAATGACAAGGCAGTATCACACTAACAAGACAATCAGCCCATGGAGCTATAATCATCATAATAATAGTTTATAATTCATAATTTATTCTATAATAAATTTTGGTGTTTTTTTTTTGCTTTTTATCAGGGTTTCTTTCTTGCACTGGTATCTTTTGGGTAAAGCGTAAAAGAAAAACAGCGCAACAAAAGAAAGCCCGATAAAAATCCTAAAACACGCCAAAAATAAGCCAAACCCCACACCTCTGCTTGGACCTTTTCACGTAGGATGGGGGAGGGGGGCATAGTTGGCAGAGCTGTGATGTTTCCATACAACCACCTGTTAGAGTCACTGTAACAGTCCGTTTCCACAGGCTGGTCACAGAACTACTACACCACTAGCACAGCAGGCAGCATGGCGGCGTACACTGCTGGTCATGTAACGGGGAAACTTACCTGTACTAGAGCCGTGCAGGAGCCCAAACTCAGAACAAACATGGCCGAGGATTTTTTAGTGCCGGCCCAGGTCGGCTTGACCCGTCTTGTTCGCCGTGAACGAGGGAGTTTACACCTCTGACACGCGATCACACGGCACCTGGAACAGGGGTCAGGCATGGTAATGTACGCTGAGGTTGGAGGCTTTGAGATGATCAGATCATGGAGGTAAAAGAGAAATGATCTAGCCGGCTGTTCTCCGACTGTCATATGCGTGTCGGCTATGATTGCATCAGAATGCGACTAACAATTTTACAGACCTTCCATTACACACGTTTAGAGCTACATTTATATTTATTTTTTATGAATAATATTTGTAATACTTTTAAATAGTTGTGTATTCATTGTCAGTTGCCTCCGTATGTATATCTCTTTTGCTACGTATGTTTACATGCTGTCAAAAGTAAAGAAATGGAGTCCCGAACGGGGAATCCCCTTCGTCACCACTTCACTGTGGGTCATTCCATTTTAAAGTGGGGTGGTGGCCTTAACTTGACCAACTTATCCACGGTTTTCGACATTTCAATGTTCTATAGTCATTTAATCGCCAAATAGATTGTAAGGCCTAAAGACATTATCACATTTGCCAGGCAGTATCCATTGGCCACATAGGGTTAAATACTACACTCGTATTGGACCCTCTCTAGCCAATGGATACTGCCTGACCAATGTGATACATACTGTCTTTTGCCACCCTAGGATCAGCTTGGAGATTATAGTCGTTACTCGTAACAACCGGTGCAATAGTTCCAGTAGTTGTAACGTAAATTAACATTTACCATTTTAAAGGTAGACAAACTTCACAAAAAACATTGAATCAACAACACCTGTTCAAGCCAAAGCGTAGGCTTCGGTTTACAGTATTTTTTGGCGTGTTAAATTCTATCAAAAAGCTTTCATCATGTAGAATGTCCTTGATTCAGTGCGATTTCATCGGGCTTCCTTTTTTGTACCGGTACCTTTTTTCGCTGGTATACTATTGGATACATTCCTGGCTATATGACATGTATACACTGTCTTGCTAATTTTCTACTTAGTCTCTTAGCCATCTAAAGATCTACTTTTATTACGAAAATACAGATTTAAAGACAAAACTTTTAATATCGGCCCC